TCCAGCCAACAGCTGAACACACCCAACTAGAAAGAAAATTAGAATATGAACAAGGAAGTCATGTATAAATGTCAAGGCTCTGAGTCCAAAGCAGGTAATAGGTATTCTATTAGGCATATTATCATAGGTATATTAAATTTTTAAACTTTATTTTTATTTTATGTAAATGAGTGTTTTGTATGCATGTATGTAAGGGCACCCATGTTGTATAATGCCTGTAGAGGTCAGAAGAGGGTGTTGGAACTCCTGGAACTGGAGTTATGACAGCTATGAGCAACCATGAACATGCTGGGAACTGAACTTGGTTCTTCTGCAAGAGCAGCCAGTGCTATAAACCACTGCACCATTTCTCTCACCAATGTATACTTAAGAAGTACAACAGATGTATTTCTTACAAAGAAAACTGTATCTCCTGGTCTCTGTGGATATGTACTTAAGAAATACAATAGGTGTATTTCTTAAGTATACATTTCCTCCAAATTTATTTTACAAAATGATTCACTACAGGATTTATTATCTTATATAAAAGTCACTTAAGTGTAGCATGTATACACAGCATGTATTACAATACTACATACAGAATTGCAGAATATTATTATAGGTCTCTTTATAGATGAAAACAGTGAAATCCAGAGAGAACTACCTTGATGAAAACTAAACACAGCTGCAGGGAAAAACATGCGAGGGAATAAAAATTTGGCCTCAGGACTTTTGTCTACACTGCTCTCTAGTCTCACTTCTCATGAGGTAGGGGCAAGCTCCCTATCTCCTTTCTAGAGTTCAAAGACAAAGACTAGTCATATGTGAAATTCCAAAGAGACAGCAAAGTGAAAGAGAGAGAAACCAGCCGTCTAGCACTATTAAACTGGCAGGTGGCTCTGGCTTTATCTTGAGCTTTCAGTAAGTTCAGAGTGGCAAGGAGGCAGACTTCACCTGGGGTGGCGGGGGGGGGGGGGGGAAACAGACAGTGTCTGCCTGGAGACTGAGGTTTCAGTTCTGATCCCACTTAACCCATTCTAGAATCCTTCCATATTGACAAGCATTACTTTCCCCATTTATTCCTTTAATTAACAATTCCTTTAACTAAAAATTCAGTTCCCCAGTCTCATTAGCCCCTATTCAAATGCTCAACAGCCATATATAGCAGCGGCTACCAGACTGGAGAATGTGGACACAGAACATTTCTGTCAGCACAGAACAGATCTAATGGATATGACTGGAATAGTGACAGGGAAGGGGATACTACTTCACATGGTGTTGAGGAATGACTCTAACAAGATTCACATAGCAAGCAGAATGAAGTGGAGCAGGAAGTGGAGTCAGTATAAGAAGCACGAGACTCCAAACACAAGAGTCGTTTATTTGTGGCACTGTTATATACATATCACTAAAGGTTCACATTTGATATTAAAATCTGAATTCACAGTTCTTCAAAAATAGTATGAGTCTTTACTTTCATTAGAACATTAAAAGAAACAACAATTAACACTTTCTATTGAAGACCCACGGCAGAAACAAGAAATAGGGAACGTTTTCTACCTACTTCCTTTATCTTCGAAAATAGAGCACTTGAACTTCCTATGACTGTAATGTAGCACTGAAGGCTTTTGTCATAAACCATTTCTTGAAAGCTACACAATTTTCTCTTAGTTACCCAATGCCTCTCAGTTTGTTGCCATCATTTACTACCCAAATTGAAAACGACAAAGTCATTTTTAAAGTGCTATTTAAACATGTTAGATTAACGAGGCAAACTACCTTTCAGAAAAAATGCTGCCCAGTAGTTGCTAAATTTGTCAAATAATACACAAACTTAGACAATACAGTCTGCTTACCGTGTCAGATCTTAAATCCTAGGGCTCTCATGCACTCCTTGTGGGCCTCTATTAGATGTCCACAGTGTTCTTCTCCTTTTTCAATGATGCTGTAAGATAAAATGCACTCGTTATTGAACAAAGCAGGCATTAAGCACATTTGTAAGGAATATATGATGATCCTAGGGAGTGAGGCAGAGCACAGCATCATGCTATGTAGCTGGAGTTACAAACAAAAGGCTACTATAACTTAACACAGCTTTGCTCTTATTTGATCTTATGATGGTTCCATGCCCACAAGGGTGTTTCACAGAACTAGGGTCATTTTGGTTTGGGTATTTGTTTGTTTTGGGGGGTGGTAAAGGGAATTCTGATTAGAATAAATAATTATACATATCAAATGCCTTTAGTTCATACCCAAGGAATAATAAACACTTCTCTATAATAAAATAAACTGAAAATACTCATGCTAAATGAAGGAGAGAGGCCTATTATCATACAGGAATTAACTTCTTGTTTCTGCCCTATGTTCAAACATGAATAAATTTTCTCATCATTAAAAAAACCCAACAACATAAACTTCAAAAAAGATCTGGTACCCAGGAGCCACGAGATCAATCCCTCTTTCAATGACTAAGGAACTTCTGGCTGATACAATTCACACAGTAAAGGCCAGAGCCAGGCTGTAACAGCACACACCTGTAATCACAACAGTCAGAAGGCTGAGGAAGGACAAGCCTGAGTGGAAGGCCAGCTTAGGCTTCATGGTAAGACCTTGTCTCAAAAGCAGTAGGAAAATAAATTCTACTTTTAAAATCCTTACCAGCCTTCGATAGCTCAAGAGCTACCTGCAAAGAGACTGGGGAAGCTAAACCCCTTACAATAATGGATATTGATAATTCAGATTATTTATGAATGTTTTATATAAACTGTGCTAGGTTCCCAGTGTGGCTTATCACTCACTAAACCTTACAGTAAGTCACAACCAGACAGGTCAAATACCTTGCACAAGGTCATCAAATGGTAAGATCAGGATTCAGACCTTGACTGTGGCCTAGGCTCTTACTCAATACCATCCTTCCCAAAGGTTGAATAAGCATTTATTACCACTGGAGCAACCTCAGGATCAGACCGAAATCTCTAAAGTCTCCATCTACAGTACAGCTTGAAAGCCGATATGGGTTTTCGAGTCTTACTCTGTAGCCCAGGCAACTCAAACTTGTGGCACTCCTACTGTCTCAATTCTCTCCAGTGTTGGGATTACAGGAATGAGCATCCATGTGTTTACATGTTTTCTATTATTTTCCTACTTCGAAAGAAAAAATGGAAATGCAGATTCACATTATCTGAGGACTCATAATGAGATCTGTTCTAAAACCGAGACTACATAAACTGCAAACAAAACTTTTTGTAATTTGATGGTAGACAATGGCACCTATACTATGGGCAGGTTGATTTTAACTTGTGGTTGTCTTAAAAGGAGTAAGGGGGATCCTATTTGCACATTTGGGGGGAAAAAAACTTTTAAAATTACCAGAATATCTAACTCTTCGGTCTTGCCAAATCTATTCTAGCCTTTAGCGCTTGGTATAGCAATCAGGCAATATGTCTCTCCATTTCTACATATCTGGACCCAAAAGTCATTTGTAGGAAGGAGTGAAGGTCGCAAACCTTGGGGGGCAGCCAGCCTAACTTCTCTCCCTTTACCCTTTCCTGAGACTGTGCTTAGGGCAGAGACCACTAGAAACCCACGGGTCCCATAACTCCAGAGTGGCTAGAGCAGGACGACTGCGCAGGCCGGCCGTCCCTCCCGGCGCACTGACCACGCATCGCGCGCCTTCTTGGTCTCGGGACAGGCGCAGCAGGGCTTCAGCGGCTTCTTCTCGGGAGCCTCGGGCGGGGCAGGACTCGCGGCCGCCAGACCCGGCATCTTCCCAGCTGAGCAGCTACAAACGCACCCAGCTAAGCACCCAGGCTTCCGCCACCCACAGCCCTAAGTACGCACTTCCACTGCGGCTCGGGAAGAGAACAGGAAGTCCCGCCTCTCAAAACCGGAAGATGTGTTGAAGGAGCGCGGACGCAAAAGAGGCGGGATTGGGTCAGGACCCAAGGGCGTCTCTTCGACGCCTGCGCAAAGGTTAAAAGGTCACCGAGTTTTTAAGTGCCATTGCGGAGGCTCTACAAAGGCTGAGGATGCGGAGACAGCTGCGCGGCTTCACCACTCCCGCGGACGTCGAAACTGAAAGGGAAAAGACTTCTCCAACCTAACAAGAGAAATCATGAGTGGAAACCAGCTCCTGAGTCACAGATCCATGTTCCATGCTGAGGCCTTGTCTCTTCTGTCTTCTTCCCCCTCCTCCCTTCCTGTTGAACTATCTATGGATGTTGGGAGGAAATGGTTCTCTAACCCCAGCTGTGCCTCTCCCCTGTGCACACGAAATCCTCAGCCAGTATTTCATAACATGAGTCATTAAAGAGACTATAAAGCTATTCTTTTCTAGTTTCAACTCTGTCATTCTTTTTTCTTTCTTTGTGGTGGATAAGTGAAAAATGTAATTGATAGTGAAACTGTAACTCCCCCCCCCCCCAAGGGAAGCTCCATTGCTTCGGAATGGCCATTCTAACCGTGCAGAAGTTCCAGGGATGTATAGTTTGTGACTCTGTGTGTGTGTGTCTTCCTTAAACTGATGTTTTTATTTGTGAATTAAAGTGATGTTTTTTAATGTTTTAAATTATCTATCTCGGACTGGAGAGTTGGCTCAGTTGGCCAATTGGCTGCTCTTGCAGAGGCCCCAGGTTCAATTCCCAGTACCCACATGGGGGTGGTTGCTGTAAATAACTCCAGTTCCAGGGGATCCAAAGCGTTTTCTGACCTCCAGCGGCATGTGCAACAAGGGTGCACTTACATACATGCAGGAAAAACACCCATATGCAGAAAATAAAAATAGTAAAATGAAAATTATCTTTTATAGATAAGGTCTCTAACCCAAGCCAGTCTTGTACTCCCTGTGGATGACCTTGAACACTGATCATCAAGGACTGGGATTACAGGTGTGTGGCTCAAACCCAGGGCTTTTTGCATGCTAGGCAAGCACTCTACCAACTGAGTGAAATATTACCAGCCCCCAGTGGGTTTTAGTATGAATTGTTAATCATATATTTGTTACTACACCAGTTCCTTAACATTTCTTTAATTCAGGAAGAAACAACATAATTTTCAGCCATAATAGCTTCCATGTATAGTGCTGTTGAGTTTGTGAATCATTTAATCTTCATAGTGTTGAAATTATCTACATTTATAGATGAGAACAAATTGAGGTTCAGAAATAGACATAATTTGTTCTTCTTACTAACTTGTATATTTTTCTAAAGGCAAGGGACCTGTTTCTTATTTTAAAATTATTGACCTGTACTTATGCCACTGCACTTTTTTTGAGATTTTATTTTATTTTTAAATTTTTAATAACTACATGATTAGAAGAAGCATTTCATTACAGCTTTAACATATTCAGTAACACATTCCAGAGCAAGAGTACATCTCTTTCACAAGTGGCTGTAACTTTCTAGGTTCACAGTTGAACTAATACAGTTATACAATATTGAACTCAGTATAAGCCCTGTAAGACATAAAATTGAATGAGTTTTTAACCTTTAAAAAAGATCTCCATTTCATTTTAGAATATATTGTTCCTTGCAGCACGACTCATTGTTTTTGCTACTAACACTGAGATGTTGGCGCATGCATCTCTAATCTGTATGTATCTGATTATTACTAGTCATAATCAGTTGCACTTGGATCCTTGGCGCCTGTGTATGTTTATAAAGTCAGTGGGTAAATTTCAATGATAATGTTTATCATTTCTACTAATTAACATGATGTAATTTTCGATGCTTCCTCCTCAAATATAATACATTTTTAAAATGTATTATATCACACAGAACATCCCAAACCATCTTATTCAACTATATACCCACTTTCCAGATGGCACCCTCCCATAGCCTCCCTCCCCCGACTAGAGCCCTTATACTCTGATATCCCTGCTACTGTCTGCTGTGTTGTCGGCACCCCCAGCCATTCCCCACTACTTGCCCTTCTGGTGAATCTAGTCAGCCTATCTAGAGAGCCTTGTTTTAGGAAGGTCAGCTGTCTCTCATCTAGCAGTAATCAGTTGTCAATATTCATTTAGATAAGATTGGGGTCTGCTGTTTATTTTCCCAGTTCTATGCTGGGTTACTATCTGGGAGTCCCTTTGGCCACCCTGGCCAACAACTCAAAACAAGGTATCTCCTTTCTGACATTGTTGCTTGTTATGTAGACTTTAGCTATACATATGGACTCTTAAAAAATTATATTGGCCCCTTTAATCTTTGGTTATACTTTCCTTTTGGGTGTTTAAGGCCATACAGTTGGCCCAGATAAACCAATTTATTTTTACTCTTAAGGTCGTTTGAGGATCTGTTCCTCAGGGGTCACATGGGCTTGGGAGGAGCCCCTGGCTCCTTTCTTTTACCAGTTCCACCGCTGCACTTTTAAAAAAGTCTCATGCTAAGACTGAGCTAGCCGGGCCCTAGGTGCTGCACTTTTTAAAAGGATTTGTTTTTATTTGTACAGCAAGTGCTCGTATCCTCTGAGCTACCTCTCCAGCATTTTGATGTATAATAAATGAACAGGGAAGAAAAGGGAGAGAATTTAGGAAGTTATGAAGAGTGAGATGGACACAAATTGTAGACCAAAAGACGAAAACTGAAACAGTTTCTTTTGTAATCAAGAAGATATTTTTTCGTCCACTTTCTTCTTTGCAAATGAAAGTTTTTAGGAAGAACTGCATGTTACACTGAAAATTCTATAAGGCTGATTAACTGATTAGAATTTCATAATGTGACAAGGATGGAATGCTGTAAGTCCAGAGCCAAATTATCTTGGGCCATCCTAGCCCCATTAGTAGCCATTTATTGCCCACCTTTGTATGTGTTCTAACATCTTTGTGACCATTAGTAAGCTCTTTGGAATGTACAGACCCCTAGTTCCCACCAACCAAAAGGCAGCATCTGAGGCCCTTAGCTGAGTTTCCCCACTCTTCTATGATCTGCCTACTTTATGTTTCCACTAATATATTTGGAAAGTGTCTTGATTTATGGTTTTCTTTGTTCTGTTACAGGGGTAACCTGAAGCTGTGTTTGATAGAATATGTGAATTTCAAAAGAGCCACAAGCCTCATTAGGGAAAGTCATAAATCCCTTAAAATGTCTAACTGGCCCTAAATTGGCAGCCTGGCCTTTGCTCAAGCCTGGCCTTGCTCAAGCCTTATCAACTGGTCACTCCCTGGACTGAGGGACTGTTTATGGAGTCCACCTGTCTGAGACAAGAGACCCTCAAGGATACCAAACCCGGGCACTAATTCAACTCCCCACAAAGTGCAGCTGTGTCCCACAGCCCCAGTGTAAAATCCTCCTGTTTACTTTGTCTAGTTGTAGATGCTTGTTGGTTCCCACGGTCAGCCTCTACCTCTCACTGTATCTTCTTTGAATAAAGGAAGATATAGTCCTTGCCTGTTGCAGGTCTGGCTCTGATTTCTTATCTTCTACTCCTCTATCTTTCCTTTTATTTTCCAAAATCCAACAGTGTCCCCAAACCATGGTCATTTGTATTTGTCTCCAGAAGAAACTATTTCTTATCCTCTCTGAGGTGAAAGTTGTGTTTCTTGTGTTGAGAACTTCAGGGGAATTGGTACTGGCCGCAACAGTTCTCTCCATGAGGAGATATAGTAATGGCAGGCCTCAGGCAAAGAAATATCTTGCCCCACACTTCCTTTAGCCTGCTTTGTCCAAGACTTACAGCAGATTCTTGGCTTTCTCTGAGCACCAAGACCGGTAATAGCTGCTTCTTTGGGGTACAATAGTCTCTTGTTCTTGAACAAATGAAAGAGCAAATCAGGCAGGTGGCACAAGCTTGTAATTCCAGCACTCAAGAGGCTGAGGCAGAAGGATAGGGAGTTTAAGGCCAGCTGGGTTACACACTGGGTTCAATGTTAGCTTGGGTCTAAGGGTAAGATCTTGTCTCAAAAACAAACAAAGGATGTACCTTTCAAACGTGAAATGTTTACTCATTTATATTCAGCAACTTAACTTTTGTTTTAGAATGGTACAGCTAACTTACATATTTCAGTTGCTTTTTCTTTTACTTTTTACAAGTAAGCTTTAAAACTTTATTTTTATTTCTCAGTGTGCATGCTTGTAGACTTACAGGATGATTTTTTTATATTAAAAGGAAAGTAAGAATATGTAGTTATTGTTTCCTATTCCACCCCCAGAAATATATCATAATTTACTTCCCACAAGAAGAACACAGTAATTTTCAAAAGCTGTAATTAGAAATTAAATTGAAGGGTGAGCAAGATGGCTCAGTTGGTTAAAGGCATTTACCACCAAGTCTAATAACCTGAGTTCAGTCCCTAGAACTCCTGGTAAAAGAAGAGCACTGACTCCCACAAGATGTCTTCTCACTTCCACACATGCACCATGGTTCACACACACACACACACACCCGCATATATCCAAAATTATTATTTTTTAAGCTTGAGAATAGTATGTGATAGAATGTATGGATTGCAGAAGAGCCACAAGCCTCATTAGGGAAAGCCATAAACCCCTTGAAGTATCTAACTGGCCCTAAATTGGCAACCTGGCCTTGCTCACTCCTGGCTCTGCTCACCCCTTATCAGTTGGCTACTCCCAAGCCTGAGAGAAAGTGTTTGTAGAGCCCACCTGTCTCCTGTAGGGCTGTAGATAACAATCCTGAAAGTTTCTGGGGAAATAATCCTGAGAAGGAGACCCTCAGTCACTCCAAGGACACCAAGCCTGGGCACTAACTCAACTCCCCACTAAGTGCAGCTGTGTCCCACATCCCTGGTATAACCCACCCCCCATTTTCTTTGTCTAGTTGTAGATGCTTGGTTCCCTTGGACAGCCTCTACCTCTCTACCTCTCACTGTATCTTTTTTGAATAAAGGAAAATATATTCCTTTATTCCTTGCCTGTTGCAGCTCTGGCTCTGGTTTCTTGTCTCCTACTCCTCTATCTTTCCTTTTATTTTCCAAAAATCTAACAGGATGGAGACTAGATAAATGAAAGATAAGATTAACAATACTTCAAGACTATACCAAGTTGTTGCCCCTCAATTGCAATTTTACTAGGAAACGTTTGTCTCTTAAATCTCTGGGACTCTTTGCTGTTGCTAAGATTGCTAAATTAGTAGGTAATAAGCTTGAAATAGTGACGTGTGGATTTTTTTCATACTACAGTAGAACGTGATTATTGTATATTACCAAATGGAGGATGTTAGTTCTAGATGACAACAAATAGCGGTGCTATGGGTGGGATGACAGCCCTGGTAATATGACAAGCAACAACTAAGGCAATACTTTATAATAGCCATTTTTCATGGTTTCTTAAACCCATGCATGGTGACTTCACCAAGGGTGGACCAGTAGAGAAAGAGCTGGTAGACAAAGAGTGACACCGTATGTTGAAAGAGAAGAATTACAAGGCTTAAATTCTCATCTATTTAATAACTAGACTTTGTGTAGCCTTGCTTAACAAAGCTAAGTAATTCTGCATAATCTCTACACGTCTACCTCTGAAGAAAAAAGGCTTTCAAATTTCCCCAGGTAAAGATGTACCACATTCTCCATAGCTTTCAAGTACTTGAAGAGTCTGAGACTTTACTTCATTCGCTAGCCAGTTTCATAAAAGATCATCGCAGAAGTTATCAAACTACTGGGTCACAGATACAGGACAGTTTATCACTTAAAGCAGTAGCAGCAGACAGTAGCAACGATGTCACAAGGTTGGACACACCTGCATGAGTACCAGGAGCCCAGGGTTCCGGGGGACACCCTAGGAGTCTCTTCATCAGAGGTTGGTTGATTATCTAAAAATAGACCTAAGACACAGTGTGGATCCGACTCCCTCTTCTGACCTCCGTGGGCACTGCACTTACAGATGCACTCGGCATACATGCAAGCAAAACACTCATACATATAAAAATTTTTAAAAATTTAAATTTGAATAAAAATAGGAATAAAAAAACATTAAATGACTGACAAAAGCTTCTGAGCATTCATTATTAAGAGCTGAACCACTTTTGCCCATAGGTTTTCCTATTACAGTTTTTTTTTTTGTTTTTTTTTTTCTGTTTTGTTTTTTTTGAAGCAGAGCCACCATATCTCCATTTGAGCTAATGCAGCCTGTAGACTTTCAATTACTGACGGCCTAGCTCATTCTGGATGCTGATGTGCCCAGGGCTAGTAGTGTGTCAAGACCCACACTTAGGAGTTTGGATTCGCCAGTCCTGTGGAAAGAGGTTTTCGGAAAGCACCCAATTCTTCTAGAAGGTTCTGAGACTTTCCAGGAATTTCCTAAAGATGCTTGGGGCTAGGGTTGTCATTAGGAAATTGTTAGCTCTCTAGAGTAGCTTTTCCCCCAGCTTCTCACGCTGACCCTTGTAGGGCGCTGGGAAGCGTAGCTGGCAGCCAGGCCATCTTCCTCTAGCCTTCTCTCCCTAGTCTCTTTATGCCAGCGTTCCCCCTCCTTCTCCCTTCCAGTTTCCAGAGCTTTAGGTCACCTCTTTAAACCTTGGATCCCCATCCCGCACTCCCAGTCCACATCCTCCCACCCTTGCAAGGGCTCGGCTCTGTGCCCCGCCTCTTCACCCCTCCCTGCCTCCTTACAGGGCCAAGCCAGGCCGGGCCCTTCTTCCACGCTCCACCCCTCTGGGCCAGGCCTCCCAGCTTTCTCTACTTGCCCCGCCCGTTATTTCCGCGCGCATCTCAGGTTACCATAGCTACGTTGCACCGACCTGCCAAGTCTCCCTTGCTGGTGCTCTGCTGACCAGAGGAAAGAGGCAGCACCATGAGCCAAGTAGTGACCCGCCAGGAGCTCAGGACCGACCTCCAAGGGTTTCAGAACCAGTGCAGGGAGAGGTCGAGGGCCAAGGGCTGCATCTCCAGTCGAGCATACGATTTCCTGTACGGTAAGGGCTGCCCCAATCCTCCCTCGGGGCTACTGTAACCTGGATAGGGCTGTGGAGAGCGGAAGAACAGCTTTGCGACAGACAGACTTGCCCCTGGACCAGCTTGTTGAATGTCACAGGTCGGAGCCTCCAGGTGGCTAGGCGCTCGGGGGCACTTTCGCAAGCCGCAGGTGCGCACTGCTTCCCTGAGCACCAGGCGGGACCATCTTCTTCTTCACCCTTTTTTCCTAATAATTTGTTTTCCTCTTGTGTTTTGATGCTCATTCAGAAAAGGATGAAATAGTTTGCACAGCTGGAGATTCACTCAATGTACCTACATTCAAACGGCCTAAGATACCCAATGAAAATGGTCTTCCTGCCCCCAATTCTCTGTGCACCTCCAAACTTGGCATTCTAGGTAAAGAGGTGCCAACTTTTCTGGTTTGTTTTTAGCATTTTTTGTTTTCAAGTTTTTAAACATCAAAACTTTTTTTTTTTATATACTCAGTGCACTGGTTTCTCTAGGGTAATAAAACTCGTTTATTTTAATTCCCTGGTTTTCCACTGGTGGTCCTTTTATTTTCTGAACCCTAAGTTCCTGTTCTATACACGCTTGTAGCTTCCTCAAACCTATTCCAATTAAATCACTGAATTTACTGTTACACCAGTTGTAATCAGTTAAACGTGATATTTTCTTTTTGATTTTGCCCTTTTTAGTCTCAGGCTGTCACTTGAACCCTGCATTACTTTCAACCATGTGATATCCCGCTTTGATTTCTAGAATCTCCTTTGGATGGACATTTATATGATACCCATTTTCTGGATTTGGACTGTGTAATGATTGCTTACATATTCTGCCCATTGGTTTTCTTTATTTACTCTTGGTTTCATTTTATGAAATGAATGTAATAACCTTTTGTAAAACCTACCATCATGTTGTTTTCTAAGGCAATTTGGGGATGGAGATAAAGCTCTTGAGTAAAAACAAAGAACGGATTTCTTAAGTTTGTTGTTTGTTTTAGCTTTAAGTGTCTCTTTTACAGAGAGGTTGCTACCTGCCTTCTTGTCTGACAAAGAACAGAAATCCACTTAGTGTTAACCAAATGAAGTGTGCGTTGTTGCGCTAAAGCAGGCAGTCTCAGAGCTGTTCACGCACAGGAGGATGGGCACAGCCAGCCGTCTACAACCTGGGCAGGGAAAATCAGATCTTGGGCTCCATGCTCCCTGGCTTGCTTTCTGTGAGAGTTGCCAGACTTAGCAAATAAAGGTAGAGAATGTACAGTTAAATTTGAATTCCAGATAAATAACAACTAACATTCTAGTATAAAATTTGTATCTGTGAACGAAAGCTCCCCCTAAACCCTGCATCTTCAACTGAACCTCCTGCAAGGCTGATGAACTGATTAAAACTTCAATGATTGTGGAGAGTATTGCAAGCCTAGAGCCTAATAAGCATTTATCTTTCGCCATCTTTAGCGAAAAGCCATTCCTTGCCCACCTCTGTGTCTGACCTAACACACCATGACTAACAGATAAAAACCTTTTAGAATTCATTGTCTTAGCAGACCATCAGCTTCCACGAACCCAAGGTCTAGGAGGCCTATCGGATAGCATTGAAGTCCTATAGCAGAATGCTCCCCATTTTTCTATAACCTGTCTCTCTCGATGTCTCCACCAAAGTATTTAAAAAATTTCATGAAACTGTTACCATGTTGGAACACTGAATTTGGGGTAACCTGAATGTGTGTTCCTGCACCGTGGTCACTCATATTTGATTCCAGAATAAATGATCTCTTAACCTCTTTGAGCTTAACCTCTTTAAGCTTTCGTGTTGAGACAGCCCATGCAATATTTGGGACATATTTCTACTAAGGAACTACACATTGCCTATTGAATTACTGCATCCAATAAGTTGTTTTTGTTGGGTTGTTAGGAGTAGACTCACATTATCCAAATTCAAAAGACTTATTTCTAAATAACAATACCAGTTTGTTAATTTCCAGAGAAATATGTCACCAAGTTGTCTAGACAAGCTGGTCGGATTTGTTTCCCTAGAGATCAGTCTACTTGGGAAATCAAATCTCTCTCTGAGGGCTGTTGGTGAGTTTAGTGTCATGATGGTTGATTTAATAGATAAAGATATACCTAGTGACATGATACTTACAGTAGCAAAGTAATCATTTGTTGAACCTTGGAGAGAGAACTTGGACATCCATCAGCACGGAGTTTTTATAAATTTAAAAGGTGAATTCTGAGGATGATTGATCTTATTAATTTCTTTATCGAGAATAGTCTTTTCTTACGCCTCCAATTATTTTTTATAAACTTGTTATTTATTTATTCATTTATTTATTTATTTATTTATTTATTTATTTTATGTGTATGAGTGTTTTGCCTGCGTGTGTGTAAGTACATTCTTGCATACAATGCCTGTAGAAAACCAGAAGTGGGCATTGGATTCCCTAGAACTGTACTTATGACCATGTATGTTCATAATTATGTACTTACTTACTGCCATGTGGGTGCTGAGAACCAAACTCAGATCCTCCAAAAGAGCAGCCGCTGCTCTTAACCACTGCACCTCTCTAACCCTCATGTTTACAGTTCTTGAGGTATATGCTATTTCCATCTTTCCAGTGCACTAAACATGGAAGATAGTGCCTAAATTTAAATTTGTTTTCTGTCTCTCTGTCTCTCTCTGTTTTTCTATGTCTCTGTCTCTGTCTCTCTGTCTCTCTGACCAGGTTGGCCTTGCTCTCATAGAGATACATCTTCCTCTTTCTCACAAGTGCTGGTATTAAAGGCATGTGCAGCCACACCCAGCTCTCTTCACTTTTTTTTTTTAAAGTCCCTCATTGAATGAGGATCCTCTTGCCCCTCCCTCTCCAGTGCTGGGATTAAAGTGTGTGAGCTGCTGTGCCTGGCTTTTTAGACAAGTACTGGAGATATAAACCCAGGCTCTCATGCTTATGTAGCAAGCATTTTTACCAACTGAGCCATCACCACCTCAACCTGCTAAATTTGTTCTTTTACCTAGAAATGGGCACAGTGTATATATAATAGGTTTCTCCTCTTGGACTATTCAGACCCAAAGAGGATCTTCTTTCGTAGGAAAGGAGTATTTCTGGCATTGTGCTTGAAATATAATAAGCTTTCCATTTGCATTCAATTCCATAAGCCAACTTGGAATTCACAGGAAGGAAATGCATCTAACATACTCTCCTTGGCAATGGACAGGATAACAGGACTTTGAGAAACCAGTTATGCAATCCATTTAAGCTCTCTGATTTGCTTCCCAATTAAGAAATGACAAGCCAGGCACACTGACACAGGCCTCTAGTTCTTTCTTCCTACTCAGAAGGCAGAGACAAGAGGATCACTTGAACCCAAGAGAGAAAGACTGTGTCCAAAAGGAGAGAAAGAGTCACTAAGATGGCTCAGCAGGTCAGGGCTGAAGACTTGAGTTTCATCCCCAGAACCTATATGGTGAAAGGGGAGAACTGATTCCCACAGGTTGTCTTCTGCTATCCACAAGTGCACAGTGGCACATGTGCCCCTCCTCAAAACCAACAGGTAAATGTAAAAAAAAAAAAAAAAATCATTTTTTTTTTTTAAAAAGGAAGAGAGCAGGGCTGTAGAGATGGCTCTGATTAAGAGCATTGGCTGTTCTTGCAGAAGCCCTAGGTTTGAATCCTAGCACCTTCATGGTGGCTAACAAAGGCCCTTAATTCCAGTTCCAGGGGTTCAGAGGCCCTCTTCTGGCCTCCATGGGCACTGTAAAACATAGGTATACTTACAAACATGCAGGCATAACATTCATACACATAAAATAAAAATAAAGATTTTTCTAAAAAAAAAAAAAAAAGGAAGAGAGAAAAGAGAAAGACAGTTGCATTACACCTCCATGATTCTCACTTGAGGTGTAAATACGCTCTATTCTTTACATTACTTTATTGTTTCACAGATCCATTATTTATTGTATCAAGTGAGCGAGACCATGCACAGGCAAATATCCAAGCCACCCTGGTTCGAAGCAGACTGGTAAGTCTAATTCATCTATTAACATGGCTTGATGAAGCTGAATCATGCATTGCATGGCTACTGCATTACTGAGCTTAGCTAATCTGGATTTAGGTTCTGTAGGGGCTTTACTATGATTACGGGGGGCACCAGGAATGTTAATATTTGTTACTAAATGTAAGGACTAACTAATAGTAAGTAAGAATCCATAAAATAAGCTACACTTGTTTCAAAGCATGTACAGTATGAAGTGATCTAGTCTAGTGTCTGCCATATAAACAATTTTTTGAGTATCCTTGTAGAGATAATCTGTTCGTGTACCAGTAGCTCCTCTTCTTGTGTTGTATACATTGTGTGGTACTTTTTAAAAACTTACAATATAGGGGCTGGAGAAATGGCTCAGCAGCTAAGAGCAATGGCTGATCTTGTAGGGAACCCAGGTTTGAGTCCCAGCACCCACATGGTGGCTAACAATAGTCCATGACTCCAGTTTCAAGGTATTCGATGCCCTCTGCTGACCTCCTTGGGCACTGCACAACACAGGTGCACCTACCTACATGCAGGCAATGTACTCACACACATAAAATAAAAATTATAAATAAAAATATTTACCATATAATTAAAACGATTTTGAAAACCTAGTGGTATAATTTTGACCTTTTCCTCCCTGCTGCCCTAACATTAGAGAAAAGTTCCAAACTTTAAATCCATGTTCAGCAACCTGATGCATTATCCAAGATATTCTCTGTATTGGAACAAGTCAGACCCTGTCCCATCATTTGTCAGTCGAGAATGGAAGGGACATGAGGAGAAACACAAAGAAACCCTCCGTCAGCATGCTGCGTAAGTGTCAGGGCTCTAGCCCCTAAACATACTTCTGTTTGTTTTGTTCATTTTTGTTGTTGTTGTCGTTGGTTTGAGACAGAACTCACTATGTAGACCAGGCTGGCTTGGATCTCAGAGATCTGCCTGCCTTTGCCTCCCGAGTGCTGAGATTAAGTGTGCACCCCCATGCCTGGCATATACTCCTGTTTTGAATGAATATGCTGCTGTTGTTTTTTTTTTAATTACTGTGAATAATTTGAAAAATAAAAGCTGTAATATAAATTCCTTTTTCCCAAACAGACCTGATTAAGATCCAGGGCTATACATTCATTGGTTAGAAGTTCTCAGAAGGTTGGCATGAATATTTATATGCATATTGAAAGATCGCTTGCTGCCAAGGACAGGGCTGACTGAATTTGTTGGTTTGATCCACCTCAGAACCTGACAGTGCTCTTTTCTGCTGGTATCACAGCTGTTGTTTAGAAAATTGTGACTAAAGTTTTTCTTTAAAAAAAAAAAAAATTATTGGCCGCTGTGGTGGTACATGCTTTTAATCCCAGCACTTGGGAGGCAGAAGCAGGCAGATCTTTGTGAGTTCAAGGCCAGCCTGGTCTACATAGTGAATTCCATAGGACAGCTGGGGCTACAGCTGTCTCAAAAAGACAAAAAAAAAATTCTTTTAATTGAATTTTTGTGTATTTCATACATAAAATCATCCTATACCCCTTTCCCCTTCCCCTTTGGCACCCTCCCATAGCCCCGACTGGAGTTCATAGAGTCTGTCATTTGTATTAAGGCCTATTATGTAAACTTAGTGTCCCAAGATGTTCCTCAATGCAAGTTCATCCACCGCGGTTTAGTTGGCCTATCTAGAGTTTCTCCCTTCAAGAGGATCAGCTCTTCCTCACCCAGCAGCAATCAGCTGCCAATAATTCTTCAAAGATTGGGGCCTGCTGTCCATTTCCACAGTTCTGTGCTGGGTTTTTGTCTGCTTAAGTTTGCATGTGTCTTGTGCATGCTGACACCATTGCTGTAGGTTTGTATGAAAAGGGTCCCATGCACCTGTAGGACTATTTCTGTATGGTCATGTACCTCCTCCCTGGCTCTTACAATCTTTCTGCCCCCTCTTCTGCAGTGGTCCCTGATCCCTGGGTGGGTGGACCTCAATATAGAGTGACTGAAGTACTTTCAAAGACACTTTAATAGATTTTATTAAAATCTTGGTTATTTAAGCTACTTACAAGTTCATATTTAGTAAATTAATAAATAATAATGTCTTCCAGCCTGGGTATAAATTACCTTTTGAAACTTTGCTATTTTATGTATTTTTATTAAAATTGGTTATTTTTGTATTTTGAATTTTTTAAATCTACTCATTTCTCCACCCTTATTTTCCCTCTTACTGGATCCTGGTTTCCTGGTTCAGGGAAAGTAGTGATATCTAGTGTAAGATGTAGAACAGTTACATGCCTGTTACCAAAGTATGAGATGTTCTGGATTCCTACTACGCAGATGTAAATATTACATGGAAATTATATGTGGAAACTATAAGCTTGAATATTGTTTTCCTGCTTCCTTTTAGAATAGATGCTTCTTTTCAGATGCCTAAAGAAGTGTATGAAGATCCTGAAGTTTCTGGCAGAAATCGCTACAAATTCTTTGACAGGTATAAAATCAAGAGTAATAAACATTTGAGCTCTGAGATTGTCAGAAAACCTCTTTACAGCACTTTCTTTAAGCCTGACTAACTTTAGAGGCAACTAAGGATATATAGTTGTGAATAAAATGGAGTTCTCAAATAAGGTCAGATGTACCAGCTATAACATGAGATCACAGTGGAGGAAAAATTGCTAAACATGTTCAAATGAGCAATATTTGAGGATGTGGTAAAAAAATATGGTCAAAATTTTTTCTTCATTTCATTTGTGACTCATCACCCTGGGATACTTATGACCTCAAATTACTCAAAAATGAGGTTTTTCCTGTCAACCCTGGGCAAACAGTCTTGATAACCACACTGAATAAATTTTCTTTAGAAAGAGAATTTCTAATCCACATTATCATTTATGAGTACTCCCTAATGGAAAAATTTTTGATGCTACTTTATTTCTCAGAGAAATGCTAACTTCTTAACTAAAGTAGATAGAATTCTTAGACTTTTTGGTGGGGGCTTTGGTAATTTTAGAAGATCTTAGGAACTTGAGATAGTGCTGGGGACTAATGGGTATCTGAAGCCAAGTACAAGCCGCTTATGAGAGTGTCTGTGGAGAAGACACACTGCTGTGCTTGCTGAAGATGCAGGTTCACTGGCTGTGCTCTGCACTGACTGAATCTCCTGGGCCAGACCCCGGAATTTGCATTTTAAGCAAGCCCCACCCCCAGTGGTTTTGTATACATCAAAATTCGAGTATTACTGATAAATGGTTAATTCAAGCTCATTGGTTTTTAACGTTAGAAGAAGGCTTTGAGCACATCCAGTGCAAAAATCTCATATATTCGTGTTTTCTTTTTCCTCCCAGGCCATTCCTTCCGTTTCTTCAGCAGATGCCACTCAATGTTGTTTTAACAACAGCCAAGTAAGTGACTTTCCTTCAAAACTCTTTCTCAAGTCTTTAGTCACTTCCAAAATTTCTTCCAAGGTGTTCATGAAATAGCCAGGAAAAGCAACCTTTCTAAAGGTCTCAAATTCTGAATAGAAATATACTTAGGCCAGGGCTTCAAGCATACATTTAAGGGCTATAGTTATTTCCAATCATATGTATATAATAATATTTAAAATTTTTTGTATAGCACATTGCCTTGTGTAGGTGAAATGATTATTAAATTCAAGCATTTCAGAACATTTCCAGAGCTTGTCTTACAAAAACCCAAAAGGGCCGGCCGTGGTGGCACACGCCTTTAGTCTCAGCACTTGGGAGGCAGAGGAACAAGCCAGTTTGGGAGATGACTGTTTCTTTGTAACTTTGTCAAGCTAGGTGCTTTCCATCCTTTAAATCTGTACATGTGAGAAAGTTGAATAAAATAGTAACTGTTTTGCTTTCTTCTCCTTTGCTTACTGTTACGTCGCCTTTTCATACACTGTTAGAAGTTCTGCTTTCTGTTTTGTGATAGTCCTATTTTTTTCTGTGGAATATTAATTACTGTATAGACCTTGATCTTGAGAATCACTCACCTTTTTTTTCAATATTTTGTTTATTATTTTTATTTTATGTTTATACATGTATTGCCTACATGTAGGTAAGTGCACCCATGTCATACAGTGCCCTTGGAGAACAGAAGAGGCTCTCAGATCCCCTGGAACTGAGTTATGGACAGTTGTTAGCTGCCATGTGGGTGCTGGGATTCAAACCCGGGTCTTCTGCAAGAACAGTGTTCTTAACCGCTGAGCCATCTCTCCAGCCCCTATTTTTATTATTTTTTCATGTGTGTGAGTGTATTGCCTGCATGTAGGTAGGTATACTCATGTCATGCAGTGCCCTTAGAGGTCAGAAGAAGGCAACAGATTCCCTGGAACTGGAGTTACGGATTGTTAGCCACCATGTGGGTGTTGGGAACTGAACCCAGTCCTCTGCAAGAGTATCCAGTGCTCTTAACTGCAGAGCCATCTTTCCAGCTCCAGTTTATAGGGAATTCTTATATAGAAAGAATATTTAACTGGGGTTTTTTTCGGTCTTTTTGAGTCAGGGTCTCCCTGTAGCCCCAGCTGACCTGGAAGCTGACCAGGCTGGCCTCGAACTCACAGAGATCCCCCTACCTCTTCCTCCCCAGTACTGGCATTAAAGGCATGTGCCCCCACGCCCAGTGGATACTTACTTTTTTTTAATAGATAAAATGATAAAGCTTTATTGAAAGACAAAAAAATCCAAATAAACAGAGATATGTTTATAATAGGAAGTCTCAATATGTTAAAGATGGAAATTCTATCCAAATAAAATCACAACTTGAAAGCAAGTCCAGTAAAAGTCCAACAAGACTTTTTTTTGTTTTTTAAAATTATTTATTTAATAACCATTTAATTAGAAGAAGAATTTCATTACAACAGCATTGACATATTCAATAACAATTTCCAGAGCTAAGATGCATCTCTTTCAAAATTGGCTGTAAATTTTTAAGTTTACAGTTGAATTAATACAGTTATACAATATTGTACTCAGTATAAACCCTATAAGACATATAGTTAAATGAGGTTTTAACCTTTAAAAAAGATCTCCATTTCATTATTAAAATGCACAGCTTCATACTTCATACTTCATTTTTAATGCAATTGACATTAACAGATGTTTGCACACGTCTTTAATCTCTACGTATCTGATTATTACTAGTCACAGTTGGTTACACTCAAATCCTTAGTGTATGGATATAAAGTCATCAGGTAGATTTCATTGGTAATATTTTTCACATCTACTAATTATTAAGGAGCAAAAGACTTTTTAATAGAAAATCTTAAGGAAGGAGGTGTAGATTGATAATAAACTCAGGAAAGGGTACCTTATTTCTCTACTAAAGAATTATAGGTAAAAATTAAAAATGAGATGTATTTGTACACTGGCAAAAAATATAATGTCTAGCATAACTAAGTGCTATTGTGTAATCAAAGAGATTGTTAGTTATTGTTGAAAGTGTGGATAATTAGAACAACTTGGGAGATTACTCTGATAATATTAACCCTGAAAATGTTTATTTCGCTGAGGCTTTAGTAATGCAACTTTTCAATATCTACTACTGACACAATAATGTACACAAGAAAATAGCTAGGGGAGCCAGGAATGGTGGGACACATCCATTGTCCTAGCACTCAGGGGGCTTTGCTGAGGGGAAGGTGCCCTTCAGGATAGTCTGGGCTACACATTGAGACTCTGTCTTAAAGAAATAAGGAAAAGAAGGAGGAGGAAGGGGGAAAGAGGAGGGATGAAGGGGGAGGAGGAAGAGGAGTGACGCGAGCTGGCACCCAGGATGACAGCACATCACTGTTTAATACAACGAAGACAGAAACAATCTGCCTACAGTAAGAGAGTACAAAGTTATCTGCACTTGGGTCTGGAGCGATGACTCAGCTATTAAAATGACACATTCCTTTCCCAGTTCCGTTCCCAGCACCCATTTCTTCACATTCATCGGTCCTTAAAAATAAAAATATTCATATACACCATTGAACATTTATTCAATTGCTATGTGCATGTGAGTGCAGTGTCCGCAGAGGTCAGAGGCCGTGAATCCCTCTGGACCATGAGTCACAGGCTATTTAATTTTTTTTTTCATAATGAATGTTGCAAAGTCTATTTTCAGGTTTTCCACTCATACTTTAAAATTGTGATATTTTGAAGTATAGAAGTTTAACCTTAACTCCCATTTCTTTTACAAGCCATACTTTAAAAAGATCTTTACTCAACGATAATATAAATATTTTTAAGGTTTTTAGTTCTATCTATCTTTATCTATCTATCTATCTATCTATCATCTATCTATCTATCTCAACATGAAACCTGCCCCTTTCATTAGTTTCTGCTAGACAGCTTGCTCTGGGAATTCCCTTTGTCTGCCTCCTGCATTGAATTTTAATTATGAATCTATCTCTGTGTGTGTAAGTGCAGGCACATACATGCAGGTCATGGTGCATGTGCACATGAACGTCAGAGGAAAACTTGTGAGTCAGTTCTCTCATTGCACTTGTTGAGGCGGGGCCTCTTTTTTTACTTACCCATTTTTTTGAGACAGAGTCTTGCTATGTAGCCCAGGTTTGGCCTCCAACTCACAATGTTCCCATCTCTCAAATGCTGAGATTAAAGGTTTGTGCCACTACACCTGGTTACTCATGTTTTCTTTAAAAAAACAAAGATATTTATTTGGGGACATAAATGAATGTATTTTTTAAGGCCCAGGAGACTCCCAGATAGTAACCCAGCATAAAACTGGGAAAATGAACAGCAGATGCCAATCTTATCTAAAGGAATATTGACAATGGATTGCTGCTAGATGAGGAACAGCTGACCTTCCTAAAACAAAGACTTC